TTTGTTTTAGGAAGATTGTTTTAGGGAATAAGATGTTTCTTAGTTGACAATTCGCGAGGCAGTAGTATCTCAAAGGAGTGGGAAAAGAGATGGAGCTATGTTGAAGCAAGGAGCTGTAATTTATCACAATTAAGTCTAAAATTAACCTGTAATCCTGTTTTCTATAAAGCACCTTAAACCTATATAGCAAATCACTAAGAAATTGCTCCCAAAAAATCAACAGAAGATAAAAATAGTAAACATTAGGAATACTTGTTTAATACGAAGGAAGAGGATCAGAGCAACAAACACCTGAGACGTGAAAGTAAATGGAAAATGGCAGACCTAAATCCAATTATGTGTGTAATTGTATTAACTATAAATGGACTCCAGTTAAAAGAGAGTGATTGTCAGACCAGAATCACTTTAGATTCAAAGACATAATTGGCTGAAGTAAAAGGTTGTAAGAAATGTACCATGCAAACAGTAACGGTAATAGAATTGGAGTGGTTATATTAATATCTGATAAAAGATTTTGAGTCAAGAAATATTTCCAGATAAAAAGAAGGACATTTTATAATGATGAGAGGGTCAGTGTAATAGGTGGATAAAATGATAATGTATAAACACAACATATAACAACATAGGGCAACAACCATTAAGCAAAATCTGACAGACTGAAAGAAGAAATTCTAGCTAACATTTATAGTTTGAGATTTAAATACTGTACTTTCAATAATTGATGGAAAAACAATACAAAAATTTTAAGAGATTGATAGATTTAAAGACTTGATTAGCACTATCAACCAATATGATCTGAAACTCCCCACCTTCCAACCTACAGACTTCACATTCTTTTCAAAAATATCTGGAATATTCCCCAAGGTAGATCATATAATTGTCCATAAAGCAAATCTAAAGAATGGAAATCAATAATAGAATGAAATTATGATATGAAAGAATCTCAAGGATATTAGAAAATATTTTGCATGCAGTGAGCATAGAAATAGAACATATCATATATTATATATAATATATAATATATAATAATATTATATATAATAATTCTATATATTATATAGAATATAATTATAGCTATATTATTCTTTAATGGGAAAATTATAGCTTTAAATTCTTATAGTAGAAAAGAAAAATGGTCCTAATTTAAAAACCTTAGCTCTCCATCAAGAGAATTTAAAAACAGCAAATTATAATGAAAGCAAGACAAAATTGAAGTAAATAATAGAAATATGACCAGCAGTCAACAAAATAGCACTGAAATGATGGGGAAAATCAATAGCAGTTCTTTGAAAATATTAACAAATTTGATAAATCTGGTGGTATAGCAAATGAGATTGTTTTCTTAATTTCTTTTTTTTTAAATTAGTGTTTGTTAATAAATAGAAAAAACTGATTTTTTAAAATTCTTACTTTTTTAAATTAAGAGTGCTAATTTTGTATCCTGCAGCTTTGTTGAATTTTGTGTGTGTGTGGGTAATCTAGAGAGGAAAGTTTCTTTCTTTAACCATTTGTATGTCTTGTATTTCTTTTCCTTTTTTCCCCCCTCTCTTTTGAGTTGGTTGCTATGACTAGACCTCACAATACTGTGTTGAACAGTAGTGCTGAGAGAGGGCATCCTTGCCTTTTTTAGTAATCTTAGAGGAAAAGCTTCCAGTCTTGCCCCATTGGATGTAATGTTAACTTTGGACTCTATATATGTGACTTATTATATTATTAAAGATGGTAATTTCCCAGTATTCCTAGTTTGTTGAGTGTTTTTGTCATGAAAGTGGTTGAATTTTGTCAAATGCTTTTTCCGTACTGATTGAGATGATCATGTGATTTTTGTTTTTCAATTTGTTAATGTGATATGTATTACATTGATTGATTTTTGTATGTTGAACCATCCTTACATTCCATGTATAAACCTCACTTTTCTTGGTGTATAATCCTTTTAATATGTTGAGTTTGGTTTGACCCCATTTTCTTTTAGATGATTGCATCATTATTCTTCGGGAATATTGATTTGTAATTTTCTTTTTGTCTTTGGTATCAGGGCAAATGAGGGCCTCATAGAAATCTCTTATAATCCATTTTATGTCTGTGATGTCAGTTTTAATGGTTCCTCTTTCATTTCTAATTTTAGCTATTTGAATTTTCTCTCTTGTTTTTGTTAGTCTAGTTAAGGTTTGTCAATTTTGTCTTTTTTTTTTTTTAAGAAAGCAAACTCTTAGGGACAAACTTAACCAAGGAGATGAGAGACTTACACACTAAAAACTATAATATGTTGTTAAAAGAAGTGAAAGGCATCTTTCAGGTATAGAAAAGTGGAAAGACATCTCATGCTTGTGGATTTTAAGACTTAATGTTCTTAAAATATCCATAGTACCCAATGTGATATTAAGTGCAGTACCTATCAAAGGCTCTATGACATTTTGTGGCAGTAATAGAGAAAACCATACTAGTATTCTTATGGAATCTGAAGGGACCCTGAAAAGCTGAAACAATCTTGGGGTGAAAAAAAACACTGCTTCACTTTAAATCATATTACAAAGCAATAGTAATTAAGATGAGGTGATACTGGCATAAAGATAGACCAATGGAAAAGAGTAGAAAGTGCAAAAATGAACCCATGCATATACATCCAAAATATTTTTGACAAAGTTGAAAGAAACTACACAGTGGGGAAACAGTCTCAACAAATGAAGTTAGGAAAACTGGATAGCTAATGCAAAAGAATGAAGCTGGGCCCTTACCTTATACCATATACAAAAATGATTTTAGATTCAACCTGAGACCAGAACTATTAAACTCCTGCAAGAAAACAAGAGAAAATCTTTAGTACACTGGATCGAGCAATGATTTCTTGCATATAATGCCAAAAGCACAGGTAACAAAGTAAAAAATAGACAAATAGAACTACATCAAACTTTAAAAGTTCTGTGCCTAAAAGGAAATAGCCATGTGAAAAGACAACCTATGGGGTGGAAGAAAATCATGGTAAATCATATATCTGATAAGGAGTTAATATATAGTATAAGGAATTTCTGCAGCTCAACAATTAGAAAAAAAATAAATGAGCATAGGACTTGAATCAAGACACTTCTCCAAAGAAGATGTAGGCATGTCCAATAAACATGAATAAGTGCTCAACATCTCTAATCATTAGTGAATCAAAACCACAGTGAAGTATCACCTCCCACCTATCAGGTGATGACCTCTATCAACAGAACAGAAAAGAACAGTGTTGTCAAACATGGGGAGAAGATGGCACCCTTGGGAACTTTTGGTGGGAATATACAATGATACAGCCATTATGGAAATCAGCATGAAACTTTCTAAAAACATTGAAAATAGAGTTACTTCCATCTTTATATGCAAAATAATTCAAAGCAGGATCTTGAAGCGACATTTACCCATCGATGTTCATTGTAGCATTATTCACAGTACCCAGGAGGTAGAAGCTATCCAGATGTCCACCACCAGGTAAATGGATAAAGAGAAATGTATATATGTGTGTGTGTGTATATATATATATATATACACATACACATTATATATACACGCACACACATATATACACACACATACATTCACACACATGCACACAGTGTAATAACATTACACAACCTTTAAAAAGAAGGAAATCTTTTAACATGTTACAGTGTTGATAAACTTTGAGGCCATTATGCTAAGGGAAATAAGCCAGTCACAAAGGTACAAATACAAAATTCTTCCTTTTATTTTGAATTTCTAAAATAGTCAAAGCATAGAAACAAAGTTGAAAGGTGGTCAGTAAGGGTGGGAGGAGGGAAAAAGAAGACTTAGTGTTTAGTGGGTATAGAATTTAAGTTTTGCAAGGTGAAAAAGTTCTAGAAATCTGTTAACAGTGTGAATATATTTGACGGTACTAAACTAAATACTTAAAAATGGTTATAGTGGTAATAACAAAAAGACCTATAGACAAAAGATTTGACAATCTGCAGCTTGACTGAATTGCAGGTTCTAGCTAGAACAATAAGGCAAGAAAATTAAAGCATTAAGATAGGGAAAGGATGACAAATCAGACATTTCTATAAAATGGATTGTTGTAACAGTGCTACCTAAAAATATTGACTTGTAAACATAAAATAAGTAACTTTTATTGAATGTAAATTATACCCCTATAAAGCTTTTTAAGTCTAAAAGAAAAATTAACCTTGCCAGTATAGGACTACTTTTCTGGATTACTTTGGATTAAATTCTTTGTCTGAATATCATGATGCAATATTGGTATAGTAGGTGTTCCCTTTGTAACATTAGTTATGTAAAAGTTTTAATTTATTGAGTTAATTGCTTGCTTTGCAAAATGAATGCATGCTATTTTAAAACTTTTTTCTTTAGGGATCATTGAATAGTGCATTTTCAATAGGCAGATTGTATGGAATGTAAATTGTATTTCGATATGCTTAAAAGAAAATGAAGGAATGAATTTGACATACCAAACTGCCTGTTCTACTGGTAGTATTTTCAAAGAAGCGTTGTGTCTGTCTAAAAACTAAAGGTTAAAGACCACAGTGTTTGTACTTTAAGTTAAAAATATTTGTCCATTCCCCTAATATACATATGCCTGTTTGTATTTAACTTATGGTGAGTTTTTTTTTTTTTTTTTTTTCTGTTCTGTTCCAGTCATGGGCAAGAGTTTTGGGGGCCATAACACAATAAGAACTCCTATTCCTATTTTTAGATAAAGCTGTGTAGAGCTGATTTTAAGCTTTTCATTTTTTCTGAACTGAAGCTTGAAGAAATCATTGTCATCTGCAGTCAGGTCAACCAGTTGTTTTTAGAGATTATATGATTGATTCACTGGGGGCATTTTACATCTTTTCCTTATTTCTGAAGTGGCATTCTCACCTTGTATTATGAAGAATAATCGTCAAATGTAGCAGAAACCTGTTACTTGGTCAGGGATGTAGTGGTGTTGTGTATCTTCAAGGTCAGTAATTGGTTAACTTCCATTTGTCTTCTTCCTTTCTGTAAAGGTGCTTGTGAGCGAGGATTCTGACAGTGACGGCATCGTGGCCCATTTCCCTGCTCATGAAAAACCAGTGTGCTGTATGGCTTTTAATACAAGTGGTATGTCCTTCCCCTCGCCCCTATTTATATTATGAGTTTTCTACCCAATTTTTTGGAAATGGAAATATGAAATATATGTGTTAGGGTATATGACATAAGTAAGTAGTTTTCAGTGATTATTGAATGAATGAATTTATACTAAAAATTTAGACACCCTATAAAGATTAATTTTACTGAGTAAAGTTGTGATTGAGTGGTAAAGATAAATAATAGATACATAAACAAATAATAGACACATAAACAGTGCTGTTGAATTGCATTTATTTCTGTGTTATAAGGCAAGGACTTTAATATTCGAAACTACTTATGTATGTGAGTGGCATTTTCTCTGTAACTACATGTTTCTTTTAAACAGTACAATGAGATGTCATGTTGATTAAACAACACATTTTATATAATGTGTGTGTATGTATTTTGCTAAACTGTTTGAATGTAAGTTACATATGTGATGACATTTCACCAACTACACATTAAGCCTACATTTTCTAAGAGTAAGGCCCTTGTACTTTGTAACCAAATAGTATGTTATATTCAGAAAAGTAGCATGTAAAAATAGTATGTTATATTCAGAAAAGTAGCACGTTGTGTTATCTAAAATCCAAGTCATCATTTAAAATTTCCCAATGAGAAATGAGTTCAACAAAGAGTTCCCTAACTGATTCAAATCAAGATCTAATTAAAGTTCACTCCTTATGTTTTGTCTCTTTGTGAGTGAGTGAAGTTACTCAGTCGTATCCGACTCTTTGTGAGTCCATGGACTGTAGCCCGCTAGGCTCTTCTGTCCATGGAATTCTCCAGGCAAGAATACTGGAGTGGGTTGCCATTTCCTTCTCCAGTTTATCTCTTTAGCTCTTTTTAATCCAATTTATAGCTTTCACCTTCCCACCCCTACTCCCCACCCCCAAGTTGCAGTGTCCAGACTAGTTATCTTGTCCAAATTCTGCATTTGTCACATATTTTTTTCATTATAATAATGTTTTCCTTTTTTTCCTTAAAGACTTTTAAATCCATTCAGGCCTGAAGATTATTTTTTTCAAACTTCCTATGTATTGTTGTGTACATCCTTTCATCCTAGCAGGAGGTACATTATATCAGGCTGTCTTGTAATTTATGATACTACATTTGATCACATGAATAAGTTAGTGACCATCAAATGTCTATATTTTGAAAATAGGTTCTCACGTGGAGATTAGCAAGTGCAGAGTTATTTTGGCCTCATTTCTTGCTTTCTTTTTTTTAAAAAAGTAATTTATTTATTTAATTTTTGGCTGTGCTGGGCCTTCGTTGCTGCACAGGCTCTTGTCTAGTTGCAGTGGGTTGGGGCTAATCTCTAGGTATGGCGCACGGGTTTCTCGTTGCAGTGGCTTCTCTTGTTGCAGATTACGGGCTCTAGGCTCGCGGGCTTCAGTGGTTGCGGTTCCCAGGCTCTAGAATACAGGCTCAGTAGTTGTGGCGCACTGGCTTAGTTGCTCTGTGGCACATGGGATCTTCCCAAACCAGGTATCGAACCTGTGTCTCCTATATCGTCAGGTGGATTCTTTACCATGGAGCCAGCAGGGAAGCCCCTGGTCTCATTTCTGAATCAACTTTTTACTAAATAGTTTTGTTATTATACATTGAAGGCTATAGAATGGTGGTTTTTCTATCATCTTTTCAGCATTGATTAACTTCTGTTAACTCTATTTAAAGAAAGAGTTTTCTCTTACTAAGCAGAAATGAGCCACAGTTTTCCTGGATGTGAAAGGCAGGGTAAATATGTAATACTTCCTCTTTAACTACCAGTTTTCATAGTTAGGAGTTGGTTTAATACTTCTAGTGGTGGAATTCCACTCCAGTGGACTTATTTTAAAAATACTTTGGTTATGAATAAAAGATAAAATTGCTCTGATGCTTTCAGAGCTGAGATAGTCTTCATTAGTTTGTGAACTTTTCCTTGCTTGGTGGGTCTGAGGAGACTGCCATTTCTTATTCTGCAGAATATTAGTTAAAACTGATGGAAAGACCCATCTTTTTCCTCCTTTTCATCTTTTCAGATCAAGAATGATCATAAGAGGATAATATTTGAGTAATCTTCCTCCTCTGAATTAGCCATGTTCAATGGAGAGGAAGATTTTGTAGTAATTGTTGATCAGTGCATAGATTTAATTAATGAAGACAAAGATTTATTGAAATGCTCTGAATGTTGTGGGATTTAAGTTGAATTTGAAGAAACAATCTGGAAGTTATGTCACTTATAGTACTCTTCTTAGAGTAACCAGTATGACTCATTTTTGATAGGCCATCTGTTATGTCAGATCTCCTTTGTGTTAATCTATGTTTCATATGGCCAGAGTTGGGATGCTTCGGACATCTGAAGTTGTATTTTTTCCTGTCTGTGAATCTTCATTGTTATAAAAACAACTTATATAACTTAGAGCATATTGTAGTTACCTCTGTCATTGTGTAGCAGTTGGTCAGAGTTGGGATGCTTCGGACATCTGAAGTTGTATTTTTTCCTGTCTGTGAATCTTCATTGTTATAAAAACAACTTATATAACTTAGAGCATATTGTAGTTACCTCTGTCATTGTGTAGCAGTTGGTTCTAGAAGACCGTAGATTTCTGTGATTTCATAGTTTTGTTCTACATTTGCTATTTGATTTCTGTTTTAACTCCCAAATTTATGTTTTAATGGAAAGGTTAAAATTGTTTATGTTTATACTTAAAATTTTAATTTAGGTATAGTTGGTTTACAGTGTTTCAGGTACACAGGAGAATTATTCAGTTGTATAATATATGTATTCTCTTTCAGATTCTAGTGTAGGTCATTACAAGATATTGAATATAATTCCCTTGGCTGTGTAGTAGGTCCTATACTTTTCTGTGTTCCTAGCATGTTAATTGTATAACTGTATAATTTATCTTGCAGTAATCATTTCTTTAAATATTTGTTTGCTAACCTGTCTGTTCCAGTTTATATTAGGATTCACTCTTGGTGTTGCACATTCAAGGTTTTGATAGATAATGACATGTAGCCACCATTATAAGGGCTTCCCTAGTGGCTCTGTAGGAGACATGGGTTTGATCCCTGGGTTGGGAAGATCGCCTGGAGAAGGAAATTGCAACCCACCCCAGTACTGGTTCTTACTTGGGAAGTATATGGACAGAGGAGCCTGGTGGGCAGCAGTCCATGGGGTCACAAAGAGTTGTCATGACTTAGTGACTAAACAGTGACAGCAGCAACAATCCATCATAATAGTACTATACAGAATAGTTTGAACAGTTGAACAAAATCCCTGTTGCTCTGCCTGTTCATTCCTCCTCCTCTCAATTCCTGACAACCACTGATCTTTCTTCTCTTTCCATATTTTCAGAATGTCATATAGTTGGAATGTTACATGATTAGCCACTTCATATCGGCTTCTTTCACTTACTAATATGCGTTCAAGTCTCCTGTGTCTCTTTATGCCTATATTGCTCATTTCTTTTTAGCATTGAATAATATTCTATTGTATCATACTTTATTTGTCATCTGTATTTATTATTTACTGAGCAGTCTGTATCTTTTGTCCATTTTTAAATTGGTTTGTTGGTTTTTTGATTGTTGAAATCTAAGTGTTCTTTATATGTTTTAGATAGCAGTCCTGTATCAGATATGTGTTCTATAAATATTTTCTCCAAGCCTGTGATTTGTTTTCTCATTCTCTTGAAGTAGTTTTCGAAGATCAAAGTATTTAACTTTAATGAAGTCCAGCATCAGTCATTTCTGTGACTGATCTTTCCTTTGGTATGTAATGCTTCAACACATGTAAATCGACATTTTTGTACTGTTGTATCTTTATTCAATCTCACGCCGAATCTTATAATCTCTTGGAAGAAAGAGAATTTTATGAGACTTGTTAGTATTCTTTAAAAATTTATTTATTTTGCTGCTCTGGGTGTTTGTTGCTGCATGTGTGCTTTCTCGAGGTGCAGAGAGAGGGCTCCCTTCTGGTTGTGGTTGTGGCTTCTTATTGTGGTGTCTTCTCTTGTTGAGGAGCACGGGCTCTAGGACGTGCGGACTTCAGTAGCTGTGGCTCACGGGCTCTAGGTTAAGGCTCAGTAATTGTGGCACACAGGCATGGTTGTCCCTCGGCATGTGGAGTCTTCCCAGACCAGGGATTGAACCCATGTTCCCTATGTTAGCAGGCGAGTTCTTAACCACTGGACCACCAAGGAAGCCTTGATATTTTATGAGTTTTAGGATCTTTTACATTTCTTCTTAAATCTAAAATACAGCTTCTTAACCTGCATCTGAGAGGTCCATGGAGAATATTTATAGAGAGTTATGTGAACTTAGGAAAAAAATCGCATCTTTATTTTCTTTACTGAAAGTGAAAAGTGAAAGTGTTAGTCCCTCAGTCATGTCTGACTCTTTGTGACCCCATGGACTGTGGCCCACCAGGCTCCTCTGTCCATGGGATTCTCCAGGCAAGAATACTGGAGTGGGTTGCCATGCCCTTCCCCAGGAGATCTTCCCAACCCAGGGATCAAACCCAGGTCTGCTGCACCACAGGCGAAATCTTCACTGTCTTAAGCTGCTTTCTTTAACCTTTAATGAAAATTCTTTCACTTATCAATATGTACAATAAACTACTGAAATATTAGCTTTTTTGTGAATTTGTAATATAAATAATGGGTATTTTCATACCATTTTGATGTTATTTATATAATTCTCTAATTAATGCTCATGGTTCAAAGTCATGACAGAGCCTGTATTTTAACATATTACTATTAATAAAACATATATTCTACTGCATGTCAGTTTTAATAACCCTAAGTATTTTACCTTGTCTTTAAAAAATATTCTGAGAAAGAGGTTCTTAGGCTTCATCATATTGCTGAAAATTTTCATGGCACTAAAATGTTTATGGGCCCATTTATGCTTTCACTTGTTTCAGCCTAACACATCGGAAGCTAGACTTCATTCACAGTGCCTGGTTCAGTCCCTGCTTATGGAGTCTGCTGGTGGAATAGGGACTT